TTCCTTATTAACATCGAACGAATAGCTCAAGTACAACAGGAATTCCTTTGTAGAGTCGTCTGAGTCCTCGCTAAATTAGCAAAAGAAGGTTAATAAGCACATTCTAGAAATGAGACATTTTATGATGTCGTATCACAATACATCAAAGTGTAAACATTAAAATAATCACCCTAGCATAATCATTTATATTGATTATTCATAATCATTTTGGGGAAAATGTACACTAAATTGTGAATTGATCAACACTATAATTGGCAAATATTTTGAGCTCATTTTATTTTATCACAACTGGAAGATTGTAAGATATTGCTAGTTCTCATCTTCTATTAAGTTGGAATGCATGAGGAATTTGTGCCTACTATTAAAAAGCGTTACCATATTTACTTGTATATTTCGAATAATTTCATTGTGACGAAATAATTACGTACTTAAAGAATCAAAGGGCGAAACTGTGAGCTTATGTTCGTTTTACATTAGACAGTTTTTATTTCTATGAAAAGTTCTATTAAAACCTTTCTCTGAAAAGTTATTTCTCTAAAGTGGCTCCGAGCCTGTCATGGTAAGGTTTCCCCATGTCAGCTAGGTGCCGAGTTTCGCACATGGCGGCCTCACGTGCCTTGCCACCTCTGTTATTGAAGTCTTTCTGCAAAAGGCTGTGAAGTGTGCTGTCTTGGTAGGTGTCGAATTCGTGACGCTTTAGATCGGAACACGCAGACTGGAACTACAAACGATTGATGTTCCAGCCCTTTGATCTTGATCTCGGGCGCTTCGCCCCACTGTAACTTTACAGCAGACTTTTGTGGGAATATGTAGATCTCCGCGTACTTTTAGAAGTAAAGCAACTAGTTAAGACCATAGTAGTTCAGGTGGGTAGCTGCGTCAGCATGCGTAGGCTGCAAAGGAACAAGTATTAGATTTATTCCATGCTGAAAAACCGTGGAGCCTTCTTCAGGCGTCTCTAGTTAAGACCATTACCTGGGTGAGAGAAAAGCTGAGGGAAAGGAGAACTCATGCTAAGTTCCCTTTACAGACAATTTATGAAACATTTTCTCTGAATGATTACTGCAAGGCTCAGCATTTTCTGGGCACATCAGTCTTTGGGCTCACCTGTTTCCAACACTGTAAATGAAAATGAACCAGTCAGACTGAATGTGGCATTAGGAACAGCTATGCTTCTGTGTTCTAGGATACACTGAGTCCACCGGGAGATAAGGTGCCTGGTATGGCCTGAAATGTCTGACTTTGAAGTCATTCTTTACTGTTGGGTCATGAGAATATTCATACTGCAGATGAAATTACAGATGTTATATATTCTTCCTTTTTTAAATTATAACACAGTGGAGATACATTGGCACACTCTCTACGGAAAACGAGTCAATCGCAGAACATCACCTTCACCAACGTTACCTAAATAATGTTAATGCACACTCTACATATTCTCTCATCTCACATTGTCCAGAACATTTTACAGATACAGCGGTGTGCTGGCAATGTAGCCTTGTCGAGCAACTGAAATATACGCGCCTATTATTTAGACGGCAAAGAAAAGCGTTTTTCTTCTTTAAAGGTATGATTGTTTCTATAGAAAAAGACTCTCCAAGTCTTTTGTTTGTGTGAGCGTACTGGCGCACTTTGACTGTTGCCTCATCCAGGAGGATACTGCACATAATGCATTATTATTATTATGTGTGCATGTCGAATCAATATAACTAATTCATCCAAAGATACTGAATCCTTTTTTTCAGATACAAAGTGTATAAAATTAAAACGTCTAACAGCAAAATACATTCATAATAGTGGCATCAACAATAAAGTGCAGCAAACGGCAAGAAACCAGTCTCCCACTCATGTTTCGGGTATCAGTCACCGATGTGTACAGTCTGCTGTGAGGCGTCGAGGCTCTGAGAGCGCATTTTCCTCTGTTTCTCACAGTCTCTCCTTTTACTGATGTCCATAGGGAAACTACAGAAGTGTGTCTCATTACACATCATATTAGCAATAGTGTTTGATCTCCCACTGTGGCGGGGGTTGGGAAGCATCAGTTCCCCGGAGACCGTAGAGGAACAATAGCTGTCAGTTTAAGTTTCAATCAAAGGTCTGAAAGGCACGTCAACTCGGATTGATTCATGTCGAATCGAATTCAATAGAACGCCGTCGTTAAGTTTTATTTAAGGTACAAAGGCTCACTGAATAGCAAACCTTAAAATAACGAATACGTGGAAAACATGTGAAAGGCGCTATCTAAATTACACGAGACAATGCTACTGTCCTGACTTAAGGTTACTTAAAATAGAGTAAGTTTCACAATTTCAGTAGGGGCATTTTAAATAATAAACTGGGATCTAGCTTATTTTCTATTGGACTCTTCGGTATAGCGCATACTGACTAAGGCTCCGCACCACGGTCTCTGGGAATGGACTGATTGACAGCTCGGTGTGGGAACCTTCAGCTTCCCAGACACTCACAGAGTGTGACAAACCCACTGAAGATTTTTATTGCCTGTCTCGTTATCTGTCGGACCCCTTTCATTCTATTTAAGGGGAAGGTAAACGATTTCACCAATGAATATGAACTAAACGCTTTCTCAGGATGTTTGCTTTCAGAAGCAATCCTCCTTCTCTTCGAGTTAAAGCACCAATGTGAAAGTAGACAATAAAAAAAAGAGTTTGGCGTCATCGAATTTTATATTCTTTGTCCGAAAAAGCGATGTTTTTGTACAAAGTCTAGAATTTGAATAGATGAGTTCTTGAAGCATATTACTTTCTTCAGTAAATTAAAAAACAAAATCACACCTATGCTTTTGAGGGAGGTTAAAACGATGTAGTCGCAAATTGAGCCGAAAGATTGGACAGGCAAAGCGTTTACGACGAATTACGTTTGTGGTCACACTGGCAATTCAAAACACAAGTCATTCCTCAGCGTGTTCTGAACAGTGCTGAACATTCACGTTTACGGAAGCTTAGAAGCGCTAAGTATGTCGTTGTAACGTTGTACTAATTGAAACGCTTTTTTTTCCTCCTTGGCGCTCTTAAGCTTCCGTACACGTGAGTTTGTGCGTTGTTCATTCTACACGCGGCACTGTGGAGCTTGAGCAGGGCAGTGATCAGCACCATGGACAGCGCCTGCACACCCATTTAGCCTAACAGCGTGTAGTGCATTGCAAGGTTTACTTATTTGATTAGCAATTAACCGCTTTTAAGGCTTTTTAATTAATCGCTTCTACATTTGCTGCGCTTTTTTTGCAATTCTTTACTACGCTTTTCTTAGATTTTCTAGTTTTACATCGTAAATAGCCTACTCACAAGAGTTGTTCAAAACTACCACACTGCCTGTTTACTGCGGCCAGTAATGTAATGATCATACTCAAGTGCGGAAGGACGCACACAAAACACTTGACGGCATAGTTGCAAAACACGAGGTTAAGATGAAATGTACGACATAAACATGTAACTTTCACATCCATTTTTATTAAATTAAAACAACAAATCGCAACAATGTGGGTGAAAACATTGATAATAGTTGTTTTAGAAAAAAACAACACATTTTTCTGACAAACTACAGTGCATTTTGTCTTCATAGAAGACGCTATTTCATTACATATTTCAATTAAAGAAAACTGTCAAACAATATGGACAATTAAAAATTACATGCATAACAATACATTATTGAAGGAAGGAGTCCTAGAGAAGAAATTTTCTTGTACAAAAAGTTTCAATAAAAATTTAAAACCAGTGGGTTATATATAATAAAAACATTACTTAAGTAATTTACTGCTAAAATACTTTTCCAGGCCAAGAAAAATAGTTCGGACTACCGTCTTCACAGAAGACAATAGAGCTAGTGTAAAAGTACAGAAATTTCCTGAAATAGAAAATACTCTAAAGTACCTTAGGTCTGCATTGCAGGCAGATAGTACCTTGTATCACAAGACATAAGTAGCACATTATTTATCCAACACCAGGAAATAATTCTGACTCATTTTGAAGAAATACACCATTAAAAATCTTCTGCACTTGACTGACAAAAGAGAGAAATAATATTACAAAGTTATAATTGCTGACCATGTTCATCTTAGGGAGGCCTGTGCAATTCAGTTTGTTCCAGCATTTGAGAACAGTCTGTAATGCTCTACCAGGGCCTCCAGAGGATTGTGTTAGCCTGAGTCTCTCCTTTGATGGTGGTGTGATGGACTGGGGAGCTCAGCTGAGGCAGGACACTCTGACAGCTGCTCTTATCCAAGGAAAGCTGTGTGTTCTGGAAATGGTTCAGCAGTCTTCCCTGGGACTCCACCTTCGTCCCATCCTGGGAGAGGAA